TTACAAGGTACTGCCATGTTTTGTAAGTTTTACCCGAGGCGGACCACACCCCGCTCTTGCTAGTTCCTCTTGGCACGCAATTCCTTGTTGAGAGAGGGGAGGTAATATTTGGAAAGATGCTGGTAGGGCATTAATATTTAATCCGGTTGTCTTGAGAGGTTGATTGGTTGCGATTTGGCCCGTATGAGCTGTTCTCCATTTTTTATATCCCCTGCTTAGAGTTGTATAGGGTTAATAGATTTCCACCTTTATTTCCTGCGCATTCGAATACATAGCGAATGGAATTCAAAGAACATAAAAATGAAGGATAAAAAATGTATCCGTATTGCCAACCGGAATAATATTTTACCCCTCCACTGGAAATTGATGTTTTTTTTTTCAATCTGCGAAACATGATTCCATATAACTCTGATCTTCAAGTGTAATAAATTAGTTAATAAGTCGATTTGGAATTATTCTCCTAATCAAGTATTGTTTAATAATTAATTTGCTTGTGATTTATGGTAAAATTGTTCCAGTACTGTTTAGTGTACATGAACTCATAATACAAATGTGTATACAAGTATCACCGATAACCCCAGCTCAATTTCCATATTGCAACTTATGTATTTTTTAAAATGAAGTTGTACGAAAAATTATCTTCAAACAAAGCATTTAAATTTCTAAGAGATAAGTGCACTAGATATTGCGATAAAGAGAGACCAACCAGAGAGGCTACATGTGGTCAGAACAAGTTGCACAATCCAAAGCGTAGGCCTGCCTATAGATTTGTCATTGTGTGATATTGTCCAGTTTTGTAAGAGTTTTGATATAAATTTAGTTCAATAGATTACACAAGTCTCCTAAAGAATGGAACAATTTTTAGCTTTTCTTTAGCCCTTATAAAATTTGATGGATAAGTCTCAACACTGTCTAACCTCGTAGTCTAAGCTGACATATTTCGCAAGATGTATAAGTCAGAATATTATTTTATTGTACAATTTTTAATTTTTTTAATAATTATTATTATTGTTAGACATTTATTATCTATCTTGATAGAGCAGCCATTTAGGCATTATAAGAGGAAAGAATGTCCCGGACGAGCTGTTTGGACCTAGCCAAGGTGCGCTGGATGAGAAGCCTTTTCAACTTGTCTTGTTGTCTAAAGCTAATTAATGAGACACGGCAGAACCAGCTATTGACAATGAAATGTAATTTCGGTTCAATGACAACTTTTGTTCTTGACCAATGTTGTTTTTTTTCTCCATCCTTCAGCGAATAGATTGCTGCGAATTCTTTCGAGATGAATATTACCATAACAGATGCTAACATTTTGTTTTTTTATTACGACGAACTATTTCGACCATTGTAATTGTGTTTTTGCTTTTAATTAAAATTTTTAAGTAATGAGTAGAGAAAAAAAATGTGACTTTTGAAATTTCTGATTTCTACTTGATACTCTTAGTTATTCTTGAAATGATATTTTCTTGCACTTGTGGAATCAAGTTGATATACTGCGGGAACTACTTCATGTTTATGACTTGTTCAACTTTTTTCCATTAGTCACTTCTTGGTAGTGTTGCCCAATGGTAGGTCTTGGTCTAAGACCATGACTAAGACCACCTCAGTGCTGCAATACCAATACCAAGACTGGTAAAAAAAATCAATTTTTTGAATAAAAATTAAAGCAAAATAGTTAATAATGCTTGACAATTTTAGATACTATACGTAAAGAATTGATATAACCAATATACTTTTGAATTTAACTCTTATAATTTTTCATTCGGGCGTAGTTAGATTTCCCTTATCTAAAATAATACATTAATATTTCTATAGTACAAAGCTAATAGGTAACTTCAAGACCGTTGCGAGACTCTTGCACAAGACCAAGACTCGTTTCGGCCTCGCATTCCGGCAATACTACTTCTTAGGTCTCTAATACTGATCACAAGAGAAATAGAATAGCTATGAAACTGTTCCCTAATTGAAAGTTCCTCCCATAATCGGAACCTCACAAAAATATAGTTTTCTCAAAAATTCATAGCCTCGTCAAAATAATTCTCCCTTAAAATGTTTGATGGCGCAACATGCGTCTTTCTGGGCACCCTCTGCAAGGATACGAAGATGGAGATGAAGATTCTGTAAAAAAAATATATAAAAAAAAGTGAACTCGTTCTGCTTGGCCAAAACAAAATGATCCATCTTTCCAGTGATCAGTCCATTTGTTTCAGGAAGATATTTTATCACCTGCTCAATAGAATCAGCTCCATCAGTTGTATTATGTTTTGTCAGAAGTATACTTCTAATTCATGAAATTAATTTAAAACAAATAGTGATTTGAACTACCTACACCGCAAGGATATTATTATGTATTTTTTAAAGCATTAAATCGCAAATAATCTAATCCAAGCGGGTTGAGAAACCTATTGACGATAGAATTTCAAATTTACATATTATGTCTTTATTGTGTCTTTGAAATAAGATATATTTTCCGTTTCGTAAGAGTTTTGTTTTTAAAATTTAAATTCAATCTATAATTTGCTAACGGTAATAATTAGATGTTGACTCACATAACATCACGACGTTTAAGGCAACCAACACAACTATTGATGCTCTGTATCCTGAGAAAATGGTGTATACATACCGATCATGTCTGAATAACAACTTCAAAACTGAACCCTAGAGCGTTTCTACCCAACCACATATTAAATCTGCAATGCTAATTTTTCTGTTCTTCAGATCAATCAATTTTTTTTTCCTTCTTCTCTTTCCAGCCATAAATAATTGCTGATTGGAAACAGATATATTCTGTAATATGAAAACGAGGTGTTTATGAAAACTTTGGAATAATTTGAATTAATAAACAGTCCTATTTGTCTTCTTCTTTTTGATTCAGCAATCCGACTATTAAATTCATATAGAATCCTTAGTTCATATAATGAGAAACTATATGGGATGACTTAATTATATTCGCCAAATCTCTGTTTTTTGAGATATCACCATGTTTTGAAACTTATCCAAGACTCCATTTAATAATTTTAATCTCGTTATAGGTTTGCACCTTAGAATTCAACAATTGATATATTTTATGCAAGTAATAATAGTCGGTCGAGAATCATTGTGTATGTTGAAAGTATAGACAATGGATTTCCTAATATTGGAAGTATAGGCTGTTGGTGGAGACATTGCATCGCTCTGGCGAAATCTTGCACAACTTAAACATGCTTTTCGTGCTCTCGTTAAGGTTTTGTATTCCCATTTACCCCAACTATTCATGGCATTTGTTTTTAAATCTTGTACTTTCGCAATATCAAGTTAAAATTATATAAAATCTTAATTAATTCCTCGTCTTCTTTGGAATAACTATTGAGATCGTTATAAAATACCACGCAAGATATAGTATTAGTTATTTTCCTCGTCATTATTTATTGCTGAATTATTCGCAATAAAGTTTCCATTGCAAGAAAGCAACCGAAAACGTTTATCAACTCCCTAGCTTAAGTCTGACATTTTTTAGTCAATTGTCAAAAGAGCAGTCCTAAAAAACTTTTTTTCTATTTATTTATTGAGTAACATAATATTCTAAGATTTGGACAATAATTATAATGAGGTAAGACCACATTTGCACTATATGCACAGAAAATATAAAATAAACAAACGCAAAATAACAACTAAATAATAATTTTTTAATCCTAAAATTTGAATTTACAACATTTCTCTAAATATTACAACATTCCTTTATTATTATTATTATTTATGAAATTTAAAACTGTACAAATTAATATATATTCAGTAAATGTGATACAGAGAAATGCATGGCATGGCAAGGCTTGTAGAGAATCTACCCATTGGTAGCACTCTAATAAAGTATCTAAATTAGGAAATCAAGAGGCCATCTTCTTTTCAGACGCCAAGGGTGGTTATGAAGGATTGAGGAGGAAGCAAGTTTAGAAACGAGAGGATTAGGATGGTTTTGAAGTCTATTGGGCCAAATCGGAAACATACGGAACATTCAGGTCGTTATGGATTATTTTATTTATTACAAAGTAAGGATCATTAAGAATTTCGGATTGTAAAGATTGGATATGAGTGGAATTAGATGGTTTAGTGGAATCTTAAAGCTCAATTCCGGCTCTAAATATTGATTATGAAAAACAAAAATTGGTATTATTATTTTAGTGATATTACATAATTTTAATATATGGATAAGAAATTTTTAATGCCGTATAAGGTTATTTGGGGTTTAATAGAGTATAAAACAGCCAGATCATCAAAACCTGTTGGTTTATTTTGACTTGGTGGCTTTTTGAAGTTGGTTATCTAACAATCCGAACTTGACAGAGCAAAGTGGTTGAGGTTCCAATAGACCTGAAGCCATCAGTCAGAGTCCACAAGGTGATTAAGGCCCATACGTAGGATGGTGGTTTGTGAATGTTGGAGACACGAGGATTGATCAAAGGATCGTTTACTTTACATTGATCATTTTTTGACTTAAAGAACTTATTTCCTGTGGCTACAGGTGTAATTTTATAATCCAAACCTATAATAAATTATAATATTAATATGGTAGGTTTGTATCTATCCAGTTTGCTGAGGAGTATTTTAGAGGTTTGTTCGTTAGATGGATATTTACAGCACTAAACTATCTGATGAAATATAGCCAATCCAAATATGCTTATAGTGGTAATATTCCAGTTTCGATTTCATGACTGTTATGAAATTAGTATTAGCTAGTCAATATTTTAATATGATTTATTTTCAAGAAAATATAAGAGACTTAACAGAGCTACTTATCCCCTTAACAATACTCCGACTGTAGGCCCTTAATGTCAGCCCAGTTACGTCGGCGCTTTAACTAATAACTGGCCCCGTGTTGCAACTTGAAATATCACCCTTTCTCTTCTTATCTGTCCCATGCATTTCGAATATAGTCCAGTCATCGTTTTCTCCAAGCAAATAAATTTTGTGCTTTTATCGGAATATATCAAAGTGAGATGACTAATAGTACAAGTCGGACTTACCTGAGTCCAGATCAGTGGCTGTGACGGTGACTACACTGGTGCCCACAGTAGCGTTCTCGTAGAGCTCGTTGGAATAGGACATGGGGTCGAAGAGCGGTGCGTTGTCATTGACGTCCACCACGTTGATGTAGACGCTGACAGTGGAAGAGAGTGGAGGCTTCCCGCTGTCCTGGCAGGCCACCACGAAGATGTAATGTTGGGTCTGCAAAAGATGATAAAAATATTTCATATAGAACCATGTTTTATATTCAACAAATTAACTTATCATTTCAGTTTTCTTGTTTAATGGCTACCAAATATTTATTACCAGAAAATTATAACTGTTTACTTCAACTACCCACTAAGCGAAGAAACTTTAACATTCCCTTGTTTTAAATGTCCGTTACCTCCTGAAGGTTCAACGACACTCCGACAAAGAACAGTATCACTTATAAATAATAATATTTATCTGGCCTCTCTCGGACCGCACACCCATATAGAATATTTCAATAATTCAGAGGCGTATTGTCCATAAAAGGGACAGGCGGTCATGAAATAAAGTCGGAAAGTGCCAGAGTAGATTATTGGATGAATGGGAAACCGTGGGTGGGTAGAGACTGATGCTGGATTAGTGAGGATTTATTGTGATCCATTTCGGCTAATCAGAGGGTCTTCTTTTATTTGTCAACCAAAGTTTATTAAACCATTTGTCAAGCTATCTCTTAAATTTTCATTGGCAGCTCATTGTTCGCCGCGGTCATCATCAGTCATGGGTTCGGACCCGAATTATTTTATTACTCTGAAGTTCAGCGGTTACATAAAGGCATCGCCGTGCAGTCTTGAATTGATAATTCCGTTCAAAGACAGGATAATTACAAATCATCCGGATTTTTCAATGAATGTTTTTAAATGTTAAATAATATTTAAATGACAAGAAATATGTCTAAGGAGAAAAAGATTTTGCTTAAAATTTCTCAGATCGTGTATTCAATCCGCTATAAAATAAGAACTTATATTAAAACTCTACTTTTTACTGTTCTTTCTTTGACAAACGTTTCGTTTGCGATGATGGAGGAACAACAGTTTAAAGTTTTAGAAAATAAAGCGTTGAAGATTATTCGAAAAAGATAGGGACTTATCTCAATTGCAGTGGCTAAACTAAATATCATGTTTTTGAAGTTTAGAATACATTTTTTCACACAAATTTTCGATATAAGGATAAGTTCTTCTTGGTAATCGGAACTAACTGTAGTATTTGGTCTCAAAATGAAGGAAAACGGGAAGTTGAATCCAAAAATTGGAAAAATACATTAAGCGGACGAGAAAAGAAGTGCAAAAATATCGGAAAAGAAAACAGGGACCAGTATCTATAATATATAGAATACAATAGAATAGAATCCATAGAAAATATAGTAGACAGATGAACACAATATTTCAAAATGCTGCTAAAAAGGAGTCAAATGCTGGAGAAGGTTGGATGATATTAAGGGGACGATGCCGGTTTATTATGGTGAAGACCATATTATTTTCTAATAAAATTAAAATAATGCAGCAAAAAAGTTATTGTAGCACTAAAACTTAGACATTTATAAGTACTGAGTAGTGTGATAGGGGCCTGTAAGCACCTAAGCCTGTACCGTTTTAGAAAGAAAAATATATTCTCCAGATGTTTTATTTCAACACGCATTCCGTTATTGTTGGCCGTTCAATTACATAAGACACTTGATTTTTAAAGGGAAAATGTTTTTGTTAAACATATTGATTTTACTGGTGTTTTTTATTGCCTAAGCCAATTATGTTTTGATATTTTTTCATTTTTTATTATTCTATGACTATATAACTTTAATATAAGACGAACTATGACGAAATTAAGACAATTGCTGATTCTCAGTGACCAAAAAACTAACTAAAGTCAAAATTGTCAGTTCGCCATGTTTGGACGCCATTTTAGGGCAGTGCGTTCACTTTTTTTGTGGGAACATTTTTTTTTTTTTTTATTTATACGTTTATAGCTTTGCTGGAACTGTAATTTTTGGCGATAACTGTGTCACACAGAAGCATCAGATGAACACATCAGCGCTAACAGTCACTTAAAGAGTCTCTAATAGTTCTTAATGGCTTTCTTCAGTGTTTAATTAGCGGAAGTGGAAAGTGTCCCGAAGGAACACAGTGCTATCTTGATCTGAGGACACGCAGCATTCATTAGTACGGACACAGTATCGAGCTCTGCTCTACGCCCTCCTTGCAAGTCAACTGTTCAAGAGCTCAGCAATCATAAAGGGATCACTTTTGATCCTAATTTGTATTATTGTGTATGGAATTCCTGATTTTATTAAACCGTAATATTTATGTGTTGTCATTAATCATAAAAATTCACTTGAAAATAATTTTGTTTAGATAGATCACATTTACTTCCTAGTTCGAGTGAATCTAGTCTGTAATACTAATCGACACTGTATAATATTAAATATAAGAGTGGAGGGAGGGGAAGTTTATGGTGATGTCGACCAAAGAATTCTCGGGGATACTCGGGGATGTTTGGATAAGGTAAGTGAGAATGAGGAAGAGTGTCTAGTCTAGCGGCCACAACTGATTGATTACCCTGACAGATTGGATATTTAGTTTGCTATTATAGAGTTGAAGAAATAAAGCTTGAGAACGATGAGAATAGTTGACGAATCCTTGAGATTGGAATCTGGGGATTTTGAGGCAGATGATTGCTGCCATCAATAAAAAGAAACTATGTAAAGCATTTAAAACATTATGCGGGCTTTAAAATATTATTAGTGTTCAAATAGACTCGTAGACAACGAAAAAAAAAAACATTAATTGTACCTCATAGGAGATGCTGCAGCAACATTGAAATAAAAAAATTTAAATATGAACGTATCTTTATACGTATAGTTTCTAGTCATAAAGCCTACGCAAACCTGATACATCCCAAGTCTCAACTGCTGTCAGATTAAACGGAATTAAAATTATATACATCTCTCATAAGACAAGTTGTCAACTATAGAGTGAAAATTTGGTGTATGTCTCACGCCCCCTAGTCCATATCCCATATATTATTTTTATCATTCATTGAGCGGAGGATCCTCAAATCCAATTATTTCAACAGTACCTGTAAATAATATCATTTTCAATCAATACAACGCACATTCAAATACCAAAGGTAGAAAAAAAAGGGTTAAGATAAATCTGAGTATTGTTCCATAACTAATTAATGATTCGAATATAATACTTATTTTATGTTTTTGTTTGAGAGGTTTATCTAATGGCGATTGCCGTGAACAGAGTGAACAGTATTTGAAAAAAAGATTATGAAAAGGATTTCTGGAGCAACACGAGATTTAGATAAAGAGTTAACTATAGAATAAAAATTCTATGAAATCGTATGCTAAGATGGGCAGAACATAAAATTAGAATGGGGGATGATGGTAGGTAAAGAGCAAATCGGAAGCCTAATCAGTGAAAAATAAAAAAGAAGAAACAGGTGGATGAACTGGAGAAAGATGCGAGAGAGTTGGGTGTTCCCCATTCGGAAGAGAGAGAGGGGCTGGATAGGAGAATATGGAAAAGGATAACTCTGGAGGTCAAGGGTCATGCGGACCTGTAGCGCCTATATTATAAGTTAGTTAGTTTTCCAATATAACTATATATTTATGTATTATAGTTTAAAAATATAAAACTATTTTTTTTTTTTTTAAATAAAGTAAATGAACACTATAGGTACAGATAATGCAAGGTATAGTTGGTAAACTTCAATGTACAATTGTCCAATTTAATGGTCATAAAATTATTGGACAGAAAAATGTTCTCACAATATTATTAGGATTAGCTGGGAACGAAATTTTCTGTTTTGAGTGAGTTTTTAGTTCTAGAAAAATGTAAATAATTTAGAAATATATTAAGAAAATTTAAATAAAAAAAAGAAATGAAAGATTTTGTGTACCGAATCTGATTAACAGACAACTTGTATCTCGGTATCCTGATTAAATCGTATGTCTCAGACATTTTATTTAGAATGAATATTTTTAGCCATTGAAATAGGATTGTAGGTGTCACAGAACACTCCAAAATATTTTCCGAACGCATCTCATGTACTATAACATGTTGTATTTAAAATTGCAATTGGAGTGGAACATTGCAGAACTGGTTACCATACATACTGCGATCAATGTATAGTGGAGAGGGCTTAGGTTGGCTGGCTGTCCTCAATACCGATTTGATTAAGAATTTTTTGTAGTAAATTTTTTTCCATCTTAGACATTTCTTATTTATATGAGGTCCTTAACCCATTAGCTAATATCGAGCTATTTATTTAATTGCGAATGGTTTGTTCAATGTTTTTCTATTCATGTATTCGTTCCGCTTATCCAAATATCTACTTATAAGTAAAAAGCAGCAGTTGCTGTTTTCAAATTCGGCTTTAATGTGATCTTGCGGTCACATCACATGTTTTTATGTCTGTTGAATTCATTGGTTTTATAATTTTTCGAATTTTTGTATGGTATATTATATAATATAATTTCCTTCGTCTTGTACGGGAGTTAGGTCTATTGCCTTTGCCAATAGATTTTGTAATGGATGTCTGAGCTTTAGTGAGAATTTCAAGCTCTCAATGTCTGATTATTTAAATTTTTTTTTCAATATTGTAGGTCAAATCAAAGTCGATTTGTGGTATTTCGAGTCAGTGCTTTCTTTGTTATTTAAATTATTGAGCTGGTATTGAAAACAAATTGTGTATGTGTCCTTAGAATAAGTTTATGATGTATAAATATACTACAATTAATTTTTATTATTCAAATATAAGATGATTACACTTACAAATTTCAAATCATGCAGATGGGGAGAAAAAAAAATGCCATTTATTGTTCAATCCATATTATAACTTTCCCTTTGATTATTTTATTTATTGTTTTTATTTTTATCTACTAATGTGATGTTCTTATAATGAGATCATGTAATTCATTGGCCTGAATGGTATAAGAGTCTTATAACCCAGTTGCTATCTAATATGGAAAGAGTGTGGGCAGGTGTTGAGACAGTGGAAATGTGATATATATGAATTTTTCTTGTTTCGACTCCTTTTTTTTATTCCTGTTCCATTTATAAAGTATGATACATGTTCAGAATATATAATGATGATTAAAGATAAGCACGAGCCCGACTAAAAATAGAATTTAAATTCATAGATGACTATCGCTGCCATATTTGAAATTGCTGTTTCAAATGACCTTAACCATTTCTTTTCATCAATGATAAACTCATGTTATCTGTTTTCAATACAATCATTGTTATCAGTATTGAATTACTTTATTCTGCACTAATGAAAAGATTTTAAAATTTCTATCTTGTAATGATTAGATCCCGAAACCAGTTAAGTTGAGTTAAGTTCCCAAAACGTTTCAATGTTTGTCGTATTGTTGTGAATTTTAGTTAGCGTCATTATAGGAAAAATAAATAAAAAATGATCCTAATTGGATCATAATAATTTCTGACTGATGAACATGTTTTATATTCTTTTAATTGATCACTAAATTGGATTTCAAGAATATAATTTACATTGCTATGTTTTGGTAAACACCTAAGTAAAATAAAAAATCTGTATTTGCATCCTATGGAAGAGATTTTTTTTAAATGTAAAATTCAAGAGGAATTCGTAGACTAAACTGTTATTGGATGCCGAGATCCGCTGTGTCTAAGAAAGGGATTATCAATTCAGATTTTAGGTCCTGGCGTTAGTTGTCCAAAGGAGAAGACGCTCGCGTGAGGCTCAGACGATACAATAAAAAAAAATCTTCAATTATGTAACGAGGGAACCTGTCTTATGATAATTTTAAAATATGTATAAATAGTTGAAATCACGCACTCATTTACATGAAACAGTCTGGATATTTCATTAATATTTCATGCATCGAATTCTTCTCCTCATTTAATTTTTTTTTTTTTTTAAATTGTTTAAACATCTCAGGAAAGATATTCTTCGGAATAGAGACGGACTTCTTGAAGGTTCTTACAATATTTATGGTCTATTAGCATCTGATGTTTTTATTTTCATATTGGGCTCATAAAAAGGTCATTTTTTGATTATGTTATTACGCCAGAATAATAACTTTATTATTTCAAGTTACGGTTGTGATTATTAATTTTACATTTAAAGCAATAAATTATTTAACATTTCCTCCATCAATTTTTGTAAGAATTATTTAATTTTTTTTTAATTGAGAAAGGTTACCTGTCACAAAGGACATTTATAATAGTGTTCAGAGTGATCATATTCATGCACAATAAATTGAACAACGAACTAATATATTTGTAAGAATGAAATACCACAGCTTACATTATTTTTAAACATACCTTCAAATATATTCATATTTGCTGATGGAAAAAATTTGAAAAAATATTATTTGACTTTTAGAGAATATATTCTTGTATAAAAAAAAAAAAATGATTTCTACAAGGTCCTAAAATATTGACAGAATTTTTAAAAATTTTGGAGTAATGTGTTTTTTGTTTGAAAATGTTTATTTTTCCCATGATTCATAGCGTTTCAGCGTTATGTTAATTTTATATTCATATTTGTTATCTATGTTTATATTTATACTTTCATTAATATTATTTACGTAAATTAATTTATCTATATGAATAATGTTTAATGGCAGATATAACAAGCCATATTTATTTGCCTATAAATTATATTATATAAACATTATTCTTGACTACCTTCATCCCAAATATTTTAAATGAAGCCAGAGACCTACCTCGTTGTGCCTGAGGACCAGAGAATGGAAGTTGAGTGTCCAGTCTATAAAACAGTTGAGGAGAATGTCGTTTAACTTGGGAGGTGATGCTGAGAATTTTATGCCCGATTCGGGTCCATTATTTAAAAGGAGCCAGGCCATTGCAGCAGAGATAAAGAGTGCATTTCGGACCGAGATAGCATTTGCAGTAAATTATAAATTTCATTCGTCAGAACGAAACTCTTTTTAAGATTCTGTTACACTGACCGGATTTAGCAAATACCCTTAAAAGCCTATTAAATTTTTTTTATCGCTGTGCATTAACAGAGCATTCGAGTAATCTCTGTCGTTCGGAGAAGTTATTCGAGAAAAAGTAAATTGAAAGAAAAAAGATGGAATAAAAAAAAAAAATAAAGGCGTTTAAAAGTATTTTTATGACTAAATCGCTTTTACGACGCTGCTTCCACCGATCCAAACGTTCCAGCCGGCGACGAAATGAACATCTAGCTTCAATATTTCCTTATTTTATCTTATACAGTTAGCTCTTGAGTTTCCAATTAATGTGTAGTGTCGAGATTGTAAAATAATGAACGTCTTTATTAACTACAGGATATATGACACTTAAATTTATAGCTTATGTTGTAGATCTTGATTCATCTCTTTTGCTTCTCCTATAAATTTTGATCTAATTAATTACTATTAAATTCCTATATCTATCCTATTCGAACTACAAAGATTTTTTATCAACTGTGTTCCTTAGTTTATAGTATGTTTAATCAATCAATTAATATATAATTTACGTTTAATTTTAATAATTTATGCTAGTCGTAAACTTAGTAGATTAATTTCTTATTACAAACTTGGCCTGGCCATTGTCAAAAACAATCTAATTATTAAAAACCCAGGGAGCATGTACAGTTTTATCAAATGAACAGGTACAAGATAATGAAAAAACATTTTCGCTTCCTCACCAACGAACAAATATCTTGAATTCATACGAAAGTTTAACGAAATTAACGAAAGGTTCGTATTGTAATTAGTTTTAAATAAAGTTTCTGGGGGGTCTGAAAAAAAAGAAGGCTAAAAAAATATGCTCTTTAGGATACGTTTCCACTAGATTTTTACGTTTTGGACATCTAGGAACAAATTTATTTTCTATCCGTATTTTCCTCAGTAGTCAAATTCATGTGAGGGAAATATCACCAGTTACTCCAATTTCGACGAAATTGTTAGGGATTCTGGGGGTTGGTTTCTGGATGGTCCTGTCTCAGTTTCATAAATTTTTCTATCCATTACTTCCGCTTTCTGATGAGCAAACATATTGCGATATGCCAATATATCGAAAATCGGCTTAAAAGAAGAAATAATCTACAATTGATCTAGTATCTATCTCATCGATTTTCATTTAATAATTAAAATTAATACAATTTTTTAAGAAATTTTGGGTGTAAATGAGGTAGGCTGCCAAATATGACAATGAGAAATTATATTAATTTTTAAATTTAATTCAATTCATTAAAAGCGTTTATGGAGCATTCTTTTCAGTTTCAAATAAAATAAGCTTATTGAATTGTACTGATTTCTATGGCATATTTTTTTTTTTTTTTTTTTATCGTTTATAGAATGCATATTTTTTTAATTATTACATTTTTTAGTAATGTAAATGTTCAAGTATTTAAGTTGGTATTATAATTCTTAGGCACTACTTTAATTTCTAAGGAATCTAGCTGTAGCCTAGAGTAATATCAAAAAAAAAGGTCATAGATATAATTTTTCTATTTATTTTTAACTTCCTGATCAAAACCACTTTCATAGTCAAAATGGACAATTTATGTTAGAATCTATTACTAACAACCGACATGAAAAAAAAAATTCAAAATCAAGATCCATAGAATATATATATATATATATATATATATATATATATATATATATATATATATATATATATATATATATATATAATGATTTTATTACATCTGGCAAATATGCATTCCATCGATGACCTTATGGTTCTCCCTTAAATATCATATGTCATTAAATCGTAAGCGGCCTTAGAAATCGTGGCGTGGTTGATCTTCATGAATCTAACCTTTACATCCTTTCCCTACTTTGGTAATGATCTATTGTTCTGAGATAAAAATGTGAGATTTCCGTCAGGCTGTTCTGCAGTTCCCCCGCCAATTAACTTACTCTATAGGTTTATTCTGATAGGATTAAATATAATTAATAATGTAATAATTAACTGAAAAGAATAATCGCTACAGAAAAGGCCTAAATAAATCATATTAAGTTTAAAAACTGATATAATTTAGTATTGTCAAAAGTCTACTCCCTACCTCACTTCTTAGCCATTGTATTTTTTACAGTTGCATTATTATTACAAATACATTAATTTTTCAAAGCCATTGAAAAAGAACAGTGTCATTGTGTGATGAAACTATTAAATTAAGTGCATGCATAACAATATTTTTTTCATTATATGCCCAAACTTTTTTTTTTTTAAATCTTTGAACTATCCATTGTCTTTCAATAATTCTATTCTATTCTATTCTATTCTATTTCGAATTATTCATCACTATTGTAATGAAATATTTGTATTTTCTCCCTCAAAAAATTTATTGAAATATTTTGTTCAGTTTATATATTATACATTATATTATTTATCGTGTTCAAATCGCATGTTGAATCATTGAAATAGCTAGTTAACTTTTTTTTTTTTTAATAATATGAATATACTTTTTGATTATTATTTAGTTGTTATTTTGCTATCTTCTCTGTGTGTATATATATATTTAGGGTGAATGTAGTCTTACCTCGCTATAATTATTGTTCCAGTGACAGAATATTATACTAATCGATAAATTAATACAAAAAAAAAAACTAAGCTGTGTGCTTTAGACCACGTGGTAGGAGTGACAAGATCAACAAGGCGAAATAAATAATATGGGGTAATTAAAGAATATGGTAAGATGAAATGCTAAATAATTCCCTCGCTCCAATTTTTTATTTTTGAGATATTTTCGTCTACATCATCCGTAAAACTTGTTATAATTTGTTTTTGGACACTATTTTTTCCTTTTCGCCCCTCTAACACGGCGTTGCGTACATATATAATTTTGAATAATAGCCCGTTACAGAGAGAATGAAATGATGAATATTTTTCTCACTTACAGTATGCAGGTACGATTTTTAGTTTTTGAGATATTTTAATCCATATCTGCAATAAAACTCGTTATAAGTTGGTTTTCGACACTTTTTATTTTACTTTTCGCCTCTCTAATACGGCATCGTGTAAAGATATAGTTTTGAATAATAGCTCATTACAGAGAGGATGAAATAATGAACATTTTCACCGTAAACAATATGCGGGTCCGATTTTTAGTTTATGAGATATTTTAATCCAAGTGCAAAAACACTTCAGATAGTCGACTCCAGACGACTTTATCGGAGCGTTACACACCTTATATCTGACGGATCAATCTAATTCACTCTCCACAAAGTAAGTCCAAAACGCACCTAAAGAAGTTTTCACTTCAATAATATGGAAGGTGATCTAGTTGGAAGGATGCGAAATATTAATATTTATATCCGATGGCCAAATCATACTTGAACTTAAAAGATTAAGAACGTTATTGGGTTGTATATTCGTATATGACAATAAAATCAGAATTTATTATAATAGGTAATGAAATAAGTTATGGCAACCTTTTTTTTTATTGTATAATCATTTCATGTCAAGGGAAAATATACAAGTAATGCGAACTTCATTTATTTATTCTTTCTAATGCTTCAACATCGAAAGCAATAATTTCTTGAGAAATCAACTCAAACTACCAACCATCTATCATAATTTATTTCAAATAAAATTTATAACCGTTCCATTTAGTCTAAAGTAACCGTTAATGGAAGATAATGACTGCCTTTAGTATAGTATATTACATAATTACTCATAATGCCTTTTCGATAGTGTTTTCTTATTTTGGAGAGACTAATAGTCCCATTGAATATCAAACTAATTTTTTTGAAAAAATAAAAAATGCCGAAGGAAAGCTGTAATAATGGAAGAGTGTGGAGGAGAGGGACGTGGCAGCCTCCAGGGGACGTAAACCGAGATGATTTACAGCTGAATCCCAGCCAGCGAGGAATGTAAACGGTCTACCTCCTCCCCCCGGCTTTCGTTATAACTAGAGAGCCTAGCTTTCCTTCCATTTAGAGATAGATATTAAAAAAAAAAAAAGTTTGTATTTCATTGTTTATAAATTTTCAATTATACTTCAGATATGGTCAATTACCTCAAAATAAAATTATTATGCCCATTCCAATCTTTTTTATGTTCTTGTCCATTATCAGTTATCAATCTGTATTGAGGATTTTTTTATTTAAAGTCAAAATTAATATTTTGAGGAATAAACCCCAGTGAAAATCCCGACTAATGCATAATGCATTCGAATAAGTAAAATTAGCAAAACATGCTTGTTACTATATACTATATTATCAAGATAGTCCATTCAACACACACACAAATTTTTGATTTAAAGTAGAAAAAAAGGTAATTATTTACAAGTGGTAATCCTTCGGCCATCTTGGTTGTATCGTGGTTATCCACAATGTTTCAGATAACGTTCTCGAAATATAGCACCAGAATGCGCCACTATTGCGGAGGGGTTGTCTTGTCCCCTCCACCTCACCTCCAAGTGAATGCAGAAATTACATCGTTTAGGTTACATATTACCCGCCTTTTTTTAAAGTTAGCATTCTTTCCCCACCATTTTCACTTTATGGGAAATAAATATCGATTGAACACCTATTCCAATTTCCATCTTATCAACATAATATTATTTATGGTTGTAGTTTTTATATAAATTCTTATAATATAATATATTATTATGATTTGTGATTATCATTGGTGGAAAAAGAAAAAATTGAATTTGTTTTAACTTTCTTGTTAGAAATAATACAATTACAGATAAAATGTCACAATAGAAACAAAACTTAAGTGAATTAACTTCTTTAATTTAGGATAAGGAAAACCGAAAGCATTAATGATGATTATTCTCAAAGTTAAAAAAACAAAAACAGGCAATATATATAAACACAATAATCATAAATAATATTAGTAATATGTAATGAAAACAAAAATTGATCGAGGTAATATGTGT